AGAGAGAGAGAGAGAGAGAGAGAGAGAGAGAGAGAGAGAGAGAGAGAGAGAGAGAGAGAGAGAGATCTGGCAGTGAATAAAGGAAAATCATGAGTATATAAGCCAAGAGGATGAAAGAATCCCATTATTAAGAGCAGGTGTGCTGCTTCTAACACTGTCCAGTTTAACTAGGAACAGAAAAACACTAAATGACAAAAAGGGGGAAAAAAAGAAGAAAATGTTTATATTACTTATGGATTATTTATGGATTATTAGCATCAATAGGGAGGTTCAGTTATCAGTGAAACAAATTGTCATTAGTGAGATGAGCTTTAGTGTCTAAAATCATGTTTTAAAGATTCATATACGAGAATATTCAGCATCTTTTGCCAAAAATTAGATTACATTTAATCCACAGTCTTCAACAGCATTGCATTTAACATTTACAGTACATAGTCTAACACAAATGTCACATTTATCCATTTGAGCAACTGGAGATGTAGAGAAAAGCTCTCAAGATTAAACCGTACTCAATCTATACAACTCATGTTAGCCCAAACCCACCACAGACCAATGTTTAGATTAATGGTGGTTTTTGCAGGTAGAACAAGCTGTGCAAATAATCTCTTCAWTGCTTAAAACCACAAAGGGGCACAGCAGATATCACTGGACAGCAGACTGAAAAGTGCCATGTGTCCAGCAGAGATAACAACAGGGCAAACATGGCTATAATAGTTGTCCCGCTACAAAAGCTTGATAAATTACATGAAAGAACATACACATTGCTTTCCTGCTGAGATTAATTACATTCTATTTTAGCTTCTTTTTGTGTTAATGGCGTTGTTCTGGCCCACATGTGGAAAAAGTGAAGCATGCTTGTTGGTTTGGCTATTCAGATCTGCGCTGTGATAAATGGGCCTGTAAGAAGCACACAGACTACCTGGATGAGTCAGCACACTTCCAGGACCTGAGAGAGGATGATAATTCTGCCAGCGAAGTCACATATGGAGAGGTGGAACAACGCTTAAGTCAGCTTCAGGAGCACTTAAACAGGTAAGCTTTGAGAGTCAGCAAAGAAAAAATTGATTTTCCTTTTACTGTCATAAACTATGAATTACCTAAGAGCATGGACTTTACCAGATTATATGTCTATGGGACTTTTTCCAATTATTTTAAATGTTGAACATATATATATTTTTTTTCTAAAACATGTTTCACACTTCATGTTATCATATCCTAACCTATAACATGTTTTAAATTTTTTTCATTATTGTAATAAAAATTGCATTTATTTTATATTCCATGATTTTAAGTTCTACATGAAACTAAAATCTAATTGTTTCTGATGTTAAACATATGGATTAAAAATTGGGGAAAGGAAATATGTAAAAACATTTAACCAACTGAGTAAAGTGCAAGGCGATTTGGAAAAAAATTCATGGAGAACATTTCAGACTTCAGTTAAAGGCAGCCCTGTTCAGATTATATTTAATTCTGTCTTTGGCAATCACACTGAATTCAGATAAATGCAGGTGTAAATATTTTCTCTCAGTSACCTTTGAAGATGGTCTGGACTAATTTTATCTGCATATGTTTGACAGCATGAATGCATTGTTTTTGACTAAATGTTTAAACTGTTTATCAAATTCCTTCTCATTAAATATACCCATTTTGTCGGGATGTAATTAATTCAAGTGGATCACCAGATTGTGAGTTTCTCTTTAGTTCAAAGTTGGTTCTGATTGTTTTGGAGATGATTGGACCTGCTGTGGTCATTGTATACTGTAATGTGTCTGTGTGTCACTCACAAAACAACAGTTTAAGCAGCTCTGTGGCACATTGTAGTCATCTAATTAAACACCAGTATTGTGTTCACAGTAAAATTGTGCAAAAAACATAACTGATGATTGTCGGCACACCCTGGAGTTTTATGGGTTTCAATTTTTAGTCCTTGTTCTGACATTGAGATTTGCAACGACTAATTATTATATGCTGCTTTATTTCTCTCATTTCTCGGAAAACTCAACAAAACGTGTCCCAAATGATACTGAATCATTAATGTTAAAACAATAATATAGTTTAGTCATCTGAATTAATTATAGGTTTTACTGAAATCTTCAGACCTGCTGTGACTCTGAACTTACAGACTGTGTGATGTGGCTGTATGTGTTTCTGCATACACAGGAGCTAGCTGGTATCTAACTGCAATCATGCACTCTAAAAATGAAGTGTTGAGTTTACTTAAATTATGTCAACTGGTCCCAGTACACCGAGTTGATATAACATGGTTAATTACATCCAATCCTTCACTTTTTTGAGTGTAATTTGAGATACGAATTGACCACTTGGGGTTTTATTGCCAGGTCTGGACTGGGCCTTATGGGAGGAACAAGAACTAGAAGAGATAGACCATCAGTACTCCATTTATTACATTTCCACCCAATTGTCGTCACTTTTTTTTTGTAAATTTAACAGTGAAGAACTGTTTCTAGTTGTCACCTCCCACATTGTTAAAAGTACACAGAAGTAATATTGGATGTTTGTGAGTAGGTGGAGGGAGACCACTAGTTGCCAGAATCTTTTGTAGAACTCAAAGTGGGAGGCTGGAGCATTTAAACTTCAAAGCAAGTCTGTGCTATTTTTTTTTTTCTCTAGACTTCAGAAGTCCTCCAAAAATTGATGACTCAGTGGAAAAGCACAATATATTTTTATTTATTTATTTATTTTTTTCAGAAATCAACATTTTACTCCTAATTTTGGTATAAAGAAACACNTCAGTGGAAAAGCACAATATATTTTTATTTATTTATTTATTTTTTTCAGAAATCAACATTTTACTCCTAATTTTGGTATAAAGAAACACATCATCCATAAATTCAACAACACGCCAGCTGCCACGWGAGACGGAGATACAAATAAACAGTGGGAGTTATTTTTAGCTGGAATTACCACAGAGAATGAAAGATAACATCAGGATGCCTGAAATACTGGGCCAGCTCAATTTATTAAGCGCAAATAAGATATTTTATCCTCTGCTCTATACCTGACCTTATTTTTCCCCTAATGCATGCTGGCTGAGGGATCAGCAGCCCTTTTCTGTCATATTGTGTGTTTTCTGGCTTTATAGTTCTAAATCATAGAAAATCTGGTGATATATATGACTGTTTCCTTTTAGAGTAATGTAATTAACCATCATAATTTAGTCTTTAACACTGGCTTTTTTTCCCCTAATGATCTAAAATTAAAAGTTTAGAGGATGTTTGAGATTGACTAAACAGAAATGATAAYGTCATTTCCACAATAAACGCTGAACTCACACCTCCCACACAAAAATCATTATCACTCCTTGCCAGAGCAGTGTTTTTCATCTATTTCTCTTCCTCGATGTGCTTCCACACCTTTGCAGTCTCTTCATTTGTCCCCCAGTAAGGAGCAGGAGCTCCATACTGCTCAGCGAAGAAGAGCTGAGTGTGTTTTTAGCCCTCACCAGACTCAGCCAGGATCACACACTCATCACATTTACGTAACTTCTTGTGTTGGATTAACCTCTTCAGCCCCAAAGGGTTTTCTTAAAGTTTGTGCTCTAAATAACATGCCGGAATGTAATTAAGTTCATCTCGGCATTTACAAACTCTACTTCAATAATATTGKTATAAAAATAAAGCTAACACGTGGGAGCTAACAATCAGAAGTGTAAGCATTACAGCAACTGCTATTGTTTCAGAGATAGCGAGGATGGAACAAAAACAAATTGTGATCATGACTTTTTGAATTGATATTATATATAACCCTTTAAAAATATAATGAAAAAGGCTAAAAGCTCTTGGAAACAGATGTTTTAATAAAGAAATAACTCTGTGTTTTGTCATTCTGCACAGGATGGGCCTTGTTGCTACCATCAATAAATGTTAAGAAATCTCAGGTTTTTAATTGTAAAATTTATTTTTTTTCTTACAAACCTGAAATGACTTATTTTTGAATGTTAGTAGAGCAGATTTACTC